CGGGGAGCTCCGGGGTCCTCAGTAGCTGGAAGAGGGAAGTGGCCGGGCCACCGGAGAGCTCCGGGGTCCTCAGTAGCTGGAAGAGGGAAGTGGCCAGGCCACCGGGGCGGCCAGTGAGGTTCTGCGGGGCCATTTCAATGGCAGCGTGCGGTTTTCTTCTGAATAAATAGAATGACGCAGTCTCTTCGCTACGTAAGGAGTCCACAGACACAGGGAGCCCCCAGGCAATGGACGTGACAGTTCCCATCTTCCATACACACAGTGTCCACACAGACAAAGAGGGAGGGCTGACTATGCGCAGCACCACGGCCCCCACGAGGAAAGGCAGCGCCCCCCACGTTCCGGAAGCAGAACCACGGCCCCCACGAGGAAAGGCAGTGTCCCCCACGTTCCGGAAGCAGCACCACGGCCCCCACGAGGAAACGCAGTGCCCCCCACGTTCTGGAAGCTGTAACAGGAGCCACCTGACGGCCGGCGACACTGTGGTGACTTGGGAGCGTTGGGCTCTCTGGCTGCGGAGCGGCTGATGTGGGGGCAGGTACTGTCGGGCAGGCCTGGGCCTGAAGGCTCAGCCTGCCCAGAGGAGATGGTACCATCCTTAGGGAGACGCTGAGGCCGCGAGGGGTGAGCAATGTGCCCAACTCTGCAGTGTCGGGGGCAGAGCCGGGACTCTGGTTCCGGAGGCGCTGCCCTCGCCAGCCTGTTTTATATGGGGTTTGGCGAGAAATGCTAACGCCTGGAAATGCCGGACTGTCATGCCAGTAGAGGGGTTGCCGTGGAGCCGTCTTAAATCTGTTTATCTTAGAGTTAGTGACGGTTAATTCTCAAAGTTAAACTAAACATCAGAAATTCACTTCTAGCTAGGATGCACAAAAAGGCGGCGGCTCCATGCTACCACTGGGGTGTCCAAATCCCCAGCACCTGAGCCTGGGCTGTACCGGGAGCCACACGTGTCAGGAGCTACAGGGCGGGGGCTGCGGGGCTGCTGTTTGGGCGCACACCACACGTCCTGCCCTGAGGGCTCTGGCGTCTGGGGAGCCTGGCAGACCAGTGCTGGGTGAAGAAAGCCCATCGCCGCCTCTACTCACCATTAAGGGCTGATGCCACCTGACCCCACATTGACTCAGAGCTGCCTGACCCTGCTTCCACTCACAGCCACCTGGTTTCCAGAGACCAGAGTGGGTGAGACTCATCCCTGTCACCATGGGTCCCTCGTCCCCCAGTAATTCTAAGCACATATGTAGAGCTTTAACACATTACACCCAATGGAAATAGCACATGGCACGAAAGGCCTTTGGGAGGCTGCATCGTGGGTCCATCCCGGCCCGAAGGCACCATCTTACAGCACAGGGTCCATCTTACAGCACGGAAGAGTTCCTTATGGGGAGGCAGAGGCAGCCCAAGGTCTGGCCAGCCTCCTTCCCGCCTGCTCACCCTCCTGCTTCTGACCACCTCAAACAGGTCACTTTTGTGGCTGTCCCTAAAGAAAGCACTAGGAAGAACCGTGCGTTTAGTTAAGGACAAAAATTGAGGGCTGTATAAATGTCTGAAATATTAGCACCCTTTCTGGCAAAATGACAGCATTCAGTTACAATTCATTCAGAGCAGAGTTCTATTCATCCATGGGATCAGTGGCAAACGCCTTTGCGGGAGAAGACCCCGCTGGTCTTCAGACCCATCTGCCAATGATATGTTTCCTGGCGTCACTCCGCCAGCGTGCGCCAACGCCCCGGGTACGGCTGTTCCTGGAGCTCTGCGCTAGGAATGCCGTCTCCTCCCAGGGTCAGCAGCTGCGGGATCTCCCCATGGAGTGCCTGCCACCCGCAGGAGGGTCCTGCCCACCAATGCTGACATGGTGCCTCAAGCCGCTCCAAGGCAGTGAGCTCACCTCCGCCCAAAACTGGGGTGGGGACTGGGTGGCAGGGACAGGAAGATGCACTTGGCCGCTCGGCCGGTTTGCAATGTGTTCACTCAAACCACAACAGCAAAAACTATGAAACGATTCTGAAAACCGGGAGCCACAGTGAGAAGGAGATGCTGCTAGACCAGCAGGTGCAGATGGCGGCTCGGCTCCCACCTTCTGAGGAGCTGGGGCAGACACAGGCCCCAGGCAGGCCATGGCAAGGATGCCCCCCAAGGTCTCAGAGCCCTGGCAGCCTTCAGGAAAGCACAGGAAGGCCAACACATCCTGACAGGTGTGAAGCTGCACGGGGCAGAGTGTGAGGTGGCAGGTGGACGAGCCTGGCATGCAGGGGCACTCGGGACCCCTCGGCAGGGCAGAAGCAGTGGGAAAGCAGAAGCTGCTCTCACACAGCCAAATGCCGAGGAGCAAGCCCGGCTGGCATGGGCACCCTGGGAATGCTGAGGGTCGGGGTCCACGGATCTTTCTGGAATGCCACTGGACACGAGGGTCTCTCTGGGGGCCTGTGTCCTCAGCAGTCAGACTTCAGATGCAAGTGGGAGTGGGGAGCCCTCCAGGAAGAGGGGTGTGGGCCCGAGATCCCCTGGGGCTTCCTGCACCTCCTGCAGGATGAGGCTGGTGTGCGGGGCAGGGAGCCTTGGTGCCTTTGCAGAACAGGAAGGAGCTTGTGAGGAGGGTGGGAGGCCTGGGCCACCACTGCCTTCCAGAGGCTCCTCTGACCTGTCTGAAAACTCCCCTGGACACCAAAGTGCTCTGCCACTTTCACGGCTCAGCCCTCAGCGCTGCCTCTGACTTCGGGAAAGCCTGAGTCAGCTTTCTGAGGCTACATCCTCCGGCTCCCAACCTTGCTCCCAGCTGAGAGGCAAAGTCCACATCTGCCAGTGGAAGTCCCCTGTAGCTAACAACAGTGAGAACTGCTCTGTGCCAGCAAATCTGCATAGAAACGCACACAAACACCCACACCCAGGCACACATCTCCATGCGTGAACACACACATGTGCACACACACCCATAGAACACACAGCCACATGCATATGTCCCACACACACACAAGTCACATGTTCTCACTCATGTTCACATATGCAACCATGTATGCGAACACACCTCGTGCACACACATCCACAACTGTGTGATGCATGTCCCACACACATTGGCACCAGGTCTGCACATCCACGGATGCCACGCAACGTCTGCACCAGGTCTGCACATCCACGGACACCACGCAACACCTGCACATCCACGGACACCACGCAACGTCTGCACATCCACGGACACCACGCAACACCTGCACATC